GTGGTTCTTGACCTTATAAAGCTTGGGTTTGTCTGTGAATCTGTCAAGTGCCTTCTTAGATACTCATACATGGCAGTCTGGATCCACCACCACCTGGCTGGAGCCCCCACCAGCAATGCCCCCTCACCTATTTAAAGTCTATATTTGTCTATTTGTTGCGTTGCTCTGCTGGGGACTGAACCTAGGTCTTTCATGCACCAGGCACGTACTCTACCACTGACGGAGCTATCTCCATAGTCCTGCCTTTAGTTTTTGATTTTGAGACAATGTGTCACTAAGCTGCCCCAGGCTAGACTTGGACTCAACGTGTAGCCCAGGCAGAACTTTGACTGCAATCCTCCAGCCACAGCCTCCCTCATAGTTGGGATGACAGACCTGTGCCACCAAGCCCAGCTCTACCCATCTTTCGATTCCCAGCTCGGTTCCCAGTTACTGTAGCCTGCACTGCTTCCCTCTCCTCTGCTCTATGGCCTTCTGGGGCAGAGGTAGAGAGCATTGAGGTCCGAATCTGATTTTCTTTTTTGGGGGGAGTGGGGGGATGCATTTTCAAGACAGGGTTTCTCTGTGTAACAACTCTGGCTGTTCCAGAACTTGCTCTGTAGACCAGGCTGGCATTGAACTCACAGAAATCTTCCTGCCTCTGCCTCCCAAGTGCTGGGATTAAAGGCATGAGCCGCCGCCGCCGCCGCCACCACCACCACCACCACCCTGGATCCAGATCTGATTTTCTGAAGCCTCATAGGCATTGGGTAATCTATGGAACATACAACATGTATTTCATGTTGCCTACATACTAACGCTTTCTAAGAGATCAAATCAAAAGCTGCATTAAGACCTTCATTGTGTCCTCAAATGCATTGGATATGGTTACGTCCCTCTCAAGGCCTGAGAATAGAGTGGATTTCTGCTAAGAGCCTTCCTCCAAACACCACCCCTACAATCACTATGTCCACCTACTATATCCCTATTCCACAGATGAGGAGACTGAGGCACAAATGGGGCCTGGCCCCATGTCATATGGTTTAAAGGCAGAAGAACAAGAAATTCTGGGAAACTCTTCAGCCTTCAGTCTGAGAGATGACATTGTGCCTGGATATGCAGACTAACTAAAGGCGGCATTAAACTGATGACGTCACATCATCAGATCATGTTGCATCAACTGAGGACCAGCCACACGAGATGCGGTAGTGCACTCCAGGCTTACAATGCAACAGCTGGGCTCTGTCCATCACAGATGACATGGAAAACATCATCACTCAAATGTCTTTGCCCCTCAACACCCCGGTTTCCCATAAAATGGAGATGGTAGCAGCCTCTGCCGCGGGCTGGTAAAAGGCAAGATGTTCATAATATACCCAGATATGCTCAGAAATCAGGGAAGGGAGAACCACACAAGATTCGGCAGGTGGGGAGAGTAGCGCTCAGGGCCCACAGATGAAACACTGGTGGCCAACGTCACATTAGAGCAGGTGTCACTGTCCCCGGGTGGCACTCAGGGTGAGATTTGGGCTTATAACATGTTCAACGATGGGTCATGGGGAAACCTGTGAAAGCAACACCAGCTTTTCCTCTCCAAAACCGAATCAGACATGAGCACAAACCACATAATTTCACGCATAAAATTTCAAGTCTTTCAGGAAACGGTGACCTGGATGGAGAATTTCAGAGACTTCAGAAATTACATTGTTTCAGGCTTCATATGTTTGCAGCACTTGGGAATCAGATTGATTCAGACACGCGATGCTGTAAATGACTTACAGACAGCTCTACTTGGGTTTGCTGGTCGTTTAAACGACCTGCCTCTGTTCTGCACTCCTGCGGCAGAGGCATTGTGTATTCTGTGTAAATAACCAGAAGAGGGATGTGAGGGGTCCCTAGCCACAAGCCGCTTTGGCTTGGTTTTCTGGATAAAGGGCCAGCAGGTGGCTTTCCAATCATCAGCAGATATGTGCCCTGAACCACAGGGCAGACTGCCCGGGAAGCCTTCCTTGGAGGGCTCATGGCATTCCTCTCTACCAGCTGGATTGGCCCAAGGGTCAGGATCTAGAGCTCAGAGCTTCACAGGGCTTACTGTGGGGATTCAGAGCCTGGTGGCTGTCACTTCTTGTCACCTCTTCTTCCCATTGCCAAGGGTTTCAGAGAGAGAATGGAGCCCAGGTCAGGAAGCAAAATCTCTGCCAGCCTCTACTCAGCAGGTGAGCAAAAATACCTCACAGATTTGTATGATCGGATTGTAACAGCAGGTGTCCTTATACACAAACATGTGTATAAGGCAGGGCTCTGGGTGGACACATCCATTCACACACATGATTATAGACCCATTTATGCAGTAGCACATCTTTCCACTGCCTTTAGAATACTTGGGCTGGGTGGTGGTGGCACACACCTTTAATCCCAGCACTTGGGAGGCAGAGGCAGGTGACTCCTTGAGTTCCAGACCAGCCTGGTCTATAGAGCCAGTTTCAGGGCAGCTGAGGTTACACAGGGCTCCTGGTGGGGGTGGGGCACTTTAGCTATGTCAGACCTAGTGGTACAGGCCTGTAATCTCAGCTACTTGAGAGGCTAAAGCAGGATGATAAAAGTTCAAGGCCTATCTGGGTTACAGTGTGAGTTTAAGATTAGGTTATTCTATTAATGAGACCTGACAATAGGTAGATAGATGATAGATAGATAGATAGATAGATAGATAGATAGATAGATAGATAGATAGATAGATGATAAACAGACAGATAGATGGATAATTAAGGGTCTTGGGGTACAGTTTTATAGTAGAACACTGACTACTTATGTTTTCAATCCTGGTTTCAATCCCAAATACAGAAAAATATAAAATATTATGCCCTACTTATACATGCACTATCATGCTGTATAATTATAAAAAAGGCCTCTAAGAAGGAACTCATGGATCCTATACATCAGTTGTAATACTATCTATAGACAGAAAGATTGGGGGAGAGGATGTACCTTAGCTGGAAAATCCAGAGTCCAGGGTTCTGTCCTCAGCACCCTATAAACTGGACATAGTGGTATAAACCGGAAAACCCAGCACTTGGGAGGTAGAAGCAGGAATATCAGAAGTTCAAGATCATACTTAGCTGCATAATGAGTTGAAGCTACCCTGGGCCCTGTCTCAAAAGAAAAAAAAATAACCAAATCAAATTTGAAAGTTGGGCCTGGAGAAACGGCTCGGCACTTAGCAGAACTAGCAGCTCTTCCGGAGGACCCAGATTTAGCTCCCAGCACCCACACGGTGGCTCACAACGGTCTGTAACTCCAGTTCCAGGGGATCCAGTGCCCCCTTCTTGCTTCCATGGGCACCAGGCGGTGTATGAAAACACATGCAGACAAAACAGCCATATGCCGCACATAAAGCAGAATTTTTTAAATTAAGTAAACAGAAAGGATAAAATGCACAGTGTTAAGTAAAAATCCAGAACTCTCTTCTATGTCAATCTGAAATGAAAAATAAAAAGTCAGCCAGGCAATGATGTTACACATCTTTAATCCCAGCACTTGGGAGGCAGAGACAGACAGAACTCTGTGAGTTCAAGGCCAGCCTGGTCCACAGAGAGAGTTCTAGGACAGTGACAGCTACACAGAGAAACCCTGTCTCAAAAAAAAAACCCAAACCAAAAAGAAAAAGAAAAAAAGTCAGATTGAATCTGTCTGGAGCCCAGCCTCACGTTCGGCTTCTCAAAGATCATACCGTTACAAAAAGGGTAGCCCATGCATCTTTTCTCAGCAAATTACCATCTCCAGCATGGAATCGAAAAACCTCTGCCATTCCGTGCCAAGAAAAGGGACCCGGGCTGTCCTCGCCACTGCAGCACGCTAGCTAGCTGGAAATATTAAATTTACTCAGTGTTTTATTAGACGCAGCTTAACAACCCTGAGTTTACAAAACTCAGCCAAACAGCGTCAGGCTTCAGCATAAACTTTTGCTAACTAGCCCACATAGTTCCCATATGCTGCGAGATGTCGCCAGAACCAGCTCTGTACCTTATAATTATAAACACACGTCTTTCAGCTCTTCTGAGTATTCTTCCCAGGCAGAACGGAAACATGCCACTTAAATTAGCACTTGGAGTACAGCGTGGGTGCCAAATTTGGGCTAGCACAAACAGGGTAAATAAAACAGCACCAAATTAAAATGGCAAAATAAACTTCTTTCCGCTCCAATGGAAACTGCTCAGTCCTTGCTGAGTGGCAGCTAACGGGTCTGGGAACCGAGGAGCTCCCCACTGCAGTTCTTGGCTCTTGAATACGCTTTTCTCATCCAAGGATCTCGAAGCAATTTCTTGCAAAACTCAAGTCGTGGTGAAAAAAAAAAAAAAAAAGTAAGTAGATGCTATTTCCTTTGCGAATTCTTTTACCGTCATATTTCTTCATTATTCTCCCCTAACAACACAAGGGAGGCTTGTATGTTTATCCCTATGTAACTCGCCAGGAATGGGAGAGATTTTAGAGGAATTAGTGAAGGCGTATAGGTGTGACATAACTTGGCAAAAGCCATAGAAATAGAAAATAATGCATAGATTTGGTAAGGAAAAAAAGATCCTATAAGTAGAACCCTTTGTCTGAGTAACAGTCTTAGAATGAGTGCCTATTTTGTACCAGGGGCTAAGCTGTGGGCCTGTCTCATACACCTTCCCTGTCTTCCTGTACAAGTATGTGGTCCTGTCCACTTACAACCTGAATGTGTCCTAGGAGCAGAAAGGGAGATGGACAGGAGACAGAACGGAAAAGCAAAGGAGAGCTCTTAGCAACCTCATTCACAGACCGTCGATGCGGGAGAGCATGGCCGACTAGGACAGTCTCCCATGGAATACTACTGAGCAAAGTCAAAACAACAGCTATTGATACAAACATCAGCTTTGATTCATCTTCACGGCGCTTTAATGACTGAAAGAAGTCTTCTCGAAAAGAACACAGTTTGGCTTGGTTCTAGTTCTGTAAGGTTCTAGAACAGGCCAAGTCCCCTAGAGTGGTGAGATCACAGAGCACAGCTTGTGTCTTGGAGGGTGGGTGGAGAGAGGATGAATTGAGATGGAATGGGAGAGAAGTTTTTTGAGGTACCTGGAACATTATCTATATAAGGCAGATATTTGGACTACCTATCAATTTGCCGAAATCTATCTCATCACGCCCTTAAGATTCTTCAATTAAATTTTATCGTAAAAAAAAATAGGGAATATCAACAAATACTGAGTTCAAGTGAATGGTACGTGTGGCATATGTGAGGAGACTATATTGACGGCTGACATGTAAACCCTACTTTGGGGAGCTGAGGAGAGAGATGTCTCGGTGTGAAAAGCACTTGCAAACAAGTGTGCAGACCTGAGTGCAAATTCCAAAAACTCACAAAAAAGCCCGGCAGGAGATCTCAGTGCTGCTCTGGTGAGATGCAAGACACACGGGAGAATTCCCTGACCTTGAAAGACAGCCTTCCTGGTGTACACAGCACAGCCTTCCTGATGGACACAGCACAGCCTTCCTGATGGACACAGCACAGCCTTCCTGATGGACACAGCACAGCCTTCCTGGTGTACACAACACAGCAGCCAAACAACGAAGAGACCCATTTGAGACAAGGTGGGAGGTGAGGACCAACACCCAAAGTTGTCCTGTGACCTTTATCTGTGCTACAGACAGACAGACACACAGACAGACAGTCACACACACACACACACACACACACACACACACACACACACACACACACACACAAAACTGATAGGAGGGTGGAAAGAAAAATGAGAATTTAGCCAAATGTTCATAATAGAATCTGGATGGGAAGCAAATAGATGTCACTGACATCCTTTCCATGCTGTCCATTTCAATATTTGCATGATAAGTATTGGAAATTATCACAAGGCTGGAGCGGGGAGAAAGCAGAATAGGGAAGAAAATGAGGCAAAGAATATGAAAGAAAGCAGAATGAAGCAAAGAATAAGAACAGAAAGGAAGGTCGTGAACAGAAGTCTAGGAAAGGAAGTCAAATTAGAAGATGCTGAAAAAGATGAACGGGAATAATGACAGGAAGACACAGAGAAAGAAAAGAATGGCTAGGAAGAAAAGGTGTTGCATGCAACAACAACAAAAACAAACAAATAAAAAAAGAGCAATTGAGAGGGGCATAGCGAGGGAGGAGAGGGGCAGATCTAGGCTGGTGGCGGGTCCAGCACAGGCCTGGCATCGCTTCTAAACTCCCAGTTCAGTGGAGCTGAACTACGAACTGTACAGCCTGTCTCCCAGCTGTCACTCTGCTTCCCCTTGGCGCTGTGCTTGGCCAGAATCTAGATCAAGGAAGAAGATGCCAGTGACTTTTGTGCTAAAGCCACTGACCCGTCCCACCCAAAGGCCAGAGGCACTCCGGTGGCCCGAGATGGTTGTCAGCCTTCCTTGTTTAGTCACGAATTCCTATCGATAGAAATCTCATGTTCTTATGAATTATAAAAATATATTCGGCAGAGGGGAGCAATGCTGGTCAATGTGGAGGTCATAGGGACAGGGGGCTGCCAGCCAGCTGCTCAACTGACTGACCTACCTGGAGCTCACAGTTCAGGGTCTCCATAGACATCGCCGAAGACTTTTGAATACAAGGGGCAAGTGGAAAGTCCTCTACATCAAAACGCAGAAGACTCCTTCATGTTTGTGCCACTAACAAACGGGGGCCGTCAAGCAAACCACAGAAGCACCCAGCCTCTTTACTTCACATCTTTGCTAAGTACCCAGGGTCCAAGACTCAAATGAGGCCTTACTATGTACATTTTAAGTACTTTTCAGGCACCAAATTGTTGTGGTTTGGGTATGAAATGTCCTCCCAAAGTTTCTATGTTAAAGGTTTGGTCCCTAAGACAATGTTCAGAGGCAGGGTTTTAGGGAATTGATTGGGTTGAGGGCTCTGGTCTAATCCCTGGGTGGACTTATAGAACCCCATACCATTATTGGGAGGAAACTAGGAATGTGGCTTAGTAGAGTGAGCAGACACTGGCAGGGAATCCTTGAAGTGTATCTGGTCCCCAGGCCCGCCCTTTGGTTCCCTCTGCTTCCTGACCACCGTGAGGTGAGCAGCCTTCTTGTACCACTGCGCACTGCCCTGATGCTCAGACTCAACCACAGCCTTGAAAGCAACACAGCCAGAGGCCCACGGATGGACGGAAGCCTTTGCAAAAGTCTTGCCTCTTTCCAATCAGTTTCCTCAGGCACTTTGCTAGACACACACACACACACACACACACACACACACACACACACACACACAAAACCAGCAAGTAGGACTCCTTTTCTCTCCTGTAGATCTGTGTTGTGTGATATTTTGCTTGTGTTCTGACACAAATAAAGCTTGCTTGAAGTCAGAAGGCGGAGCTAGCCCCTAGTTAACCATAGAGGTCTAGTGGTCTGTACAGAGAGGAAACAGGAAGTGGTAAGGCAGGGTGGAGACAGGATCTCCGTCCTTTTGGACTGGAGGAACAGAACAGGAAGGAAGCGACTGTGACTGCTCTCCTGTTTCTCTGATCTTTTGGGGTTTTAATCCTGTTTTGTTTTTGTTTTTTTCAGTTTTTTGTTTTGTTTTGTTTTGTTTTTTAATAAGATTAACTAGATTAATGCTTCAGATCTGCCCAGATGTTAGACTTCTGGTTCAAAATGACCTCTAGCTAGCAACCCCCACATCCTCCCTCAGACTTTCTCCCCTCAAGACCTAGAGACCTCCCAAAAGAAGCAAGCTCACTACAATCGTAAGATTACTTCTAAAATGCATCTCTGCTTCTGTCCACTTTGCCAGTTCATTGGGAGCTGTGCTAGTTTGTTTTCTACTTCCCGTACAAACTGCCCAAGCTATTGTCCCTGCGGTGTTTCAATGATGCTCCGTACCAAGCTACTTCCAGGACATCCTCTGCCCAGCAACTGGCGAGAAGACTGTAAACTCCACAAGGAACACAAGCTTGAGCCGCTCCCCTAAAACACAGGCAGGAGGGACAGAGACCCGCAATGGAAGAAACGTAAGAAATGCCCCAGGGAACACCCTCCTGAGTTAATGAGATATGTGCTGATGATAAGCGTTCATTGTGTTCCAGGAACCATCAATGAAATAAAAGTCAAAGTACTAATAGAGTTTTCTACTTCACATTAAATACTAGAATACACTACCTCTAAATAGTTTTAAGTAGAAAAGGGTATGACCCAAGAGTTTTATGGCCAATATTGGGTAAGTGGAGATCTCAGAAAAGAAAAAAACTCTTGGATGTTCAGTTTCAGAAAATACATCACCTATGCACCCTTCTTGATATGATTATTGAAGATGGAATCCAATTCTAGAAAGATGAAGGAGAACGAAAGCCTCAAAGGTGTAGATATTGTAATCCAAAGGGACAAGAGAAGGAAATCAATTAAAACAGCATTGAGCCTAACAGTACAAATACAGCTGCAAGCCTTGAACATTAATATTAAAAATCACTTAAAGACAAGGTATAGGGTGAAATTCCATTCATCCAAATATAGAAGGTAAATTTATTGTTTTAACAGGTTTTTGAAGTGACATCGGAAGACAGAAAAGGGATGACATCAAGTCACAACTTTGTCCAATAATTGGAAAGATGTTATTCACTAGTGACTGGCAATATAAGCTAAGAAATATTTTCTTTAAGTCTTAACCAATAGTTTAAAAGAAGACATTTACATTCTAAAAATATTTTAAATTAAAAATAAATAATGTCTGTATCCAAAAAAGCATGGAAATTTTTAGAAAACATTAAAAAATAGAACAAGACAATAGACAAGGTACCAAAAGTGTCAGCTATAACAATAAATGTCAATAATTTAAACTCTCTTATTAAAAGAAAGTGAATAGTCACATTGGATAAAAACCATACAAAACTATATGCTTTTTATTGTGTTATTTGTTTCTTTGAGACAGTCTTATGTCACTCAGGCTACTCTTTGAACTTAATATGCCAGTCATGGATAACTTAGAACTTCTGATTCTCCTGCCTCTGGATCTGAGTGCCAGGATTACAGACTGGGTCCATCATAACTAGTTTATGTGATGCTGGGGACTGAACCCATGGTAGAGTGTTTGCATGCTAGGTAACTAATCTGTATCACCAGCCTCAACTGTGTGCTAACTATAGGAAAGCTCAGATGGTCTGTCCTTATTAATTGATTAAAAGCCTTTGAATCATACCCTGAAAATGAATGAATTTTTTAAAGAGCTTTTTTTCATTTTGATACATATTTTTTCAAGTCCCAGAGAAACAAATTATCCAAACCACATATTTTAACCAGAATGTGATAATTTAAGATACCCTGAAATGTTAACAAATTAGGTTAATAATTCAATTGTTAAGTAAATCACTGAACAATTAAAGCTGTGGTTTAAGTTTTTAATAACAACTCACAACTAGAATCAAAATCCATGGGTGCTTATGGCCAAAGCTGCACAGACAGGAAAGTGTATAGCTCAAAATGATTTCTTTGATTAGGAAAACAACGAAAAATAAACCAAGAATTCAATGAAGGAAACTGGACAGTGAAAGGAGCCCACAGAAGGTAGGTTGGCATTAGTCAGGTGAAAGCTGAACATCATTCAGACTGTAATTAAGTAGAACTAACAAACAGATCTAAACAAATAATTTTTTTAGAGTAACAAAGAGCTTTATTAGAAAGAAGAAAGGGATAGGATGGGGGAGAGCCAGGCCTGGAGAGAAAGAAAGATGGCGGGAACAGAGCAGAGCAGGGAACAGAGAGAGAGCAGAGAGAGAACACAGAGAGAGCTATAAATAAGTTTAATATAAACTAATAGCACTCCTACTGAGAACCTAGGAGGAGAAGAGAGGAGAGAAACAGAAGAACAGAGATGCACCCACCTTATTGGGGAGAAGGACCACCAGGGTTTTAATCACAGCAAAAATGAGGGGGTTGTTTTGTTTTTGTTTTTTGAAATATTCTATGTATATGAGTGCTTTGCCTGAATGTATATCTGTGCACCGTATGCATGCCTGGTGCCCTCAGAGGCCAGAAATGGGCACGAGGTCCCCTGGGACCAGAGATACAGATGTTGGTGAGTTGACACGTGGGTGTTGGGAGTCGAACCTGGGTCCTCTGGAAGAGCAGCCAATGCTCTTAACCACTGAGCCACCTCTCCAGCCCCTAAAGTGGGGATGTTTTAAATTGTGGGAGAACACTATGTATAACACCAGGGTGAAAATGTTAGTTCAGGCCAGCATTTCCACGAAAACGCTGCACTGTAGACTAAACCTCAAGAAGCAGAAACTGGAAACAGCTCAGTTGGAAGAAACTAAAAATGTCTGATTTGGCTGTGAGCAAAGAGGTATTCTGGGAGAAACTCAGAGAGAACACAGGCGAGGATGGCTGACCACAAGATCCTGAAAATCAGTGGAAGCAGAGCTTGGGTGCAATGGAATGCAGCCCACACCCCCGGCCCACCTTAGCCTTAAACTTATGTTGGTTTGTGCTGTGGTTTTCATCCTCAGAGAAGACGGGTGGGTGCCGAGAATCCTCATCCTCTCAGATTTTCACGTGTTCATGTAATCTTTAAGAAAAAAAATCTAATCCAACAGACCAGTTCTACCCTCTCAGCACGCTCTGACACTGGGTGTACATAGTAGGAGAGCTTTCGAGCAAGGGTCTGTAAGTCTGGGATCCTCCTGTCTTGCAGATGACACCTTCTCTTTGGCCCTCATCTCCAATAGGGTTCCACAGAGTTGGTTTTCAAATAAACCTCTGGCAATGGTGTCAAAAACCAGTGTCTTCTGCTGTGACAGTGAACCCTTAAAAATTTTTTATTTTAAATTTAAAAAAAAAAAAATTTAAATTTATTTATCTTAGTAGCACTTTGTCTACATCCATGTCTGCTGTGCATCACATGGGTGCCCGGCGCCTGCAGAGTTCAAAAGAGGGCATCAGATCCCCTGGTAGTGGAGTTACAGATGGTTGTGAGCCACCACATGGGTGCTGGGAACTGCCACCCAGTCCTCTGCTGTAATGGTGTATCGTAAGGGTCCGCTTGGCTGGACTGAGAATTGCTTAGGAGATTAGCTAATCACACTTCCCAGTGCATCTTGGATGAGGTTTCCGGAAATTACCAGATCATGAGCTAATGGACACCCCGACCCTTGATGGATTCCTAATAAGATGGTATTATTTAGAGGTGGTGAATAGGAAGTGAGGCCTCATTGGAGGAAGTAGGCACCTGGGGTACGTACCCAGGGCTGTCTCTTGTCCCCTTTCTCTGCTTCCTGTCTGACATGACATGAGTTGTCCTGGTCAACAGCGCCCTCTACACCATGATAGACTGATAGCTCTGAAGCCATGAGCTGAAATCAATCCCTATGCCTTCGAGTTTTCCTCTGGGGTGGGGGGGGAGAGGGGTTGGGTCAAAACAACACAAAATTAGCTATGGGGGGGTATTTATTCCTTCTTACTTATTACCCCTCACCACTGTCCCCAGATTGTAGGACACCTGCTCTGTGAAGTAAGTGTGGGACACAAATCCACTCACTAGAGTGCCTCCATATCACCAGGCAGATGTGGCTGCGATGCTGGGCGGTGGGAGAGAAGCAGGGAAGGAGCATCCAAATGGGTGCTTCGGGCAATGGGTGAGGGGGAAAAACAGGCCAGCAGAAGGAATTGCGAGCTTGCTGGGGTTACTTCCAAGCACACACACAAAGTAATGTCCAGTCTCTGAGGAGATGAAGGCAGCAGGGAGATTCTGGAAAGGTTCTTTATGTAGTTCTGGGTCAGAGCAGAATCGACATCTTCGATGGTGTTGCGTCATTGGGCAGACGCATTCCCAGGAACTCCGGTTGGAGAGTCTCCGCTCCCTTCCCGTTTATTTGTGGCACTTCTGGGGTATGTTTCGAAGTGTCATTTAATGTCATTTTATGACTCCCTGGTTGTAAGTGTCTGAGTATTACCAGGGCTTACAGATTTACAACCCATTCTAAACTCAGATAATGATGTTTAATTTGTTATTGGCTGTGTAAAGGTTAACAGAGAAATAACTCAAATTATCATTTCAGAGATAACACATTACAAGAGGGCAATTTCACACCGTACCTGGCATTATACAAAAGATTGATCTCTCAAACAGGGAGCAGATGAGTTCAGACTCCACAATACAGACAATACACTCATCTGAGTCTCTTTCTGAGTAAACAGAGGAAAGTCTACTTCACAGAGCCACTGGGTGACTCAGGGGCAGGGTGGGGAGGAACTCTTCAGGGAAACTGAAGGTTGCCTGCGGCCCATCTCGGGAAGACACTAAAGAACCAGGGAAAATCAGGTCAGTGTTACTCAGTGAGAGACTAGACTCCTGCTCAGCTGTAAACAGACCATGCTAACAGACAAGGCAAGCCGACAATACCCACTATGCCCAAGAGAAAGCGCGCTTATAAAGCAAGGGCCTCAAAACCAAACCGCCGTGAAACCGCCTCTGAAGTGGAAAAGGGAAGGCAGTGTACCCCTGAAATCGTGTGTGTTTCTTTCTGCCTTCTTCTCCTCAAGACACTTTTGCATGATGGTTTGGTCCCACATCCCACGGGTCTGGGTGCCAACAAAAATATAATTAAGTAGTATATTTTCAGACTCATCAGATGAAAATACATTTCACTGTCTTAGCCCTCAATATCTGAAGTTAGCGAACAAACGCAGCTTGTCTTACAAAGTCTTGAGCTGACTGAGGGCATGTTTATCTCCCATAAGGAGAGTTCCCGTCACCCCCAGCCTAAGTTCCCCACATACCTGCTGCTTCCCACATACCCCCCCCCAACCCCACTAGGCTCAACTTCAGCCCTTTGCTTTTTCCCTCTGCAGTCTTGGAGTTTTACATCTAGGTCCTTCTCTCTCTCTCTCTCTCTCTCTCTCTCTCTCTCTCTCTCTCTCTCTCTCTCACACACACACACACACACACACACACACACAAACACACACCTGCCTTTTTAGTGTTCTTACCTCTTTACTTTTTGAATTTCCTTTCCTCTTTCTTTGCCTTCTGTGTCCTTACACTCTTTTTCAGGGGAGTTCCTTCTCCACCTCCCATATGGCTTTCTGCCATACTCTACATACTCACCCCGGTCTTTGACAGTCTGCAACCACCCCATGTTTCAACAGTCCCGTTTCTTCTGTTTCCTTCTCTGCCCACCCAGCCCACTGAACCAATCCAGCCCTGCCCTATCCGCATGCCTCAAGACGCTGCCCCGTTTGGATCAGACATCCAAATAAATTCTCATCCAAACCCAGAATTGCCCTCGTTCACAACCTCAGAACTAACTGCAGGCAAATCAGCAATTTGAAACCAATATGTCTGGCCCTCATGGTGGAAAACTCTCCCATACCAGCCAGGAAGCCTGCACAGATCCCAAGGCCACTGTCCCAGGGTATTTCCAGAGTCCTGGTACCCCCTAAACTGCAGGACATGAGAATCTGACATTTTGAGACCTTACTCCCAAACCATACCAGAGCTTTGAGACTGGCCCAGATGTCCGTCCTTAAGGGGACAAACAGAAGAGTTGTGTGGCTTCCTGCCAGCATCCTGGTGCTGACTTGTCCACTGACAGAGCAATGAAATGCCAGCAGCACCACCCTCATCTTGCACGGAGCACACTGATGAAGCACAGGTCCATCTAGGATGTGGTGCTGAATCTTAGGGAGATGGAGAGACAGGGTCCCTCTTCTCTCCTCTTAGAGCCAGAAAGCCTGCAGCATCAGTGTGTACCAGCACAGGGAGCATATAGTATGAGAAAAATAAGGCAAACTCAATAACTAGCCTCTATTGACACATAAATAAATGTACTATTCATTTGTCCCCTTAATCAACTGGCTGTACCTTGGTTCTTAAGCCCTAATAAATGGAACTGTTAGCGTTTCATAAGGATGTGTATGTTCCGGCAATCTTGAATGTCACACCAGGGAGTCAGGCCCAGATGACACGGTGGCAGGAAAACACCCGGGATTGAGGGATAAAGCATTAGATGAGCAAACTAACCTTGAGCCTTTGGAACAAAAAAAAAAACGCCAACAAAAGGCTAAAAGAAATTTGCAAATTGCTCTTCCCCGTGGACATTAGCCAGGCATTTGTTCTTTAGCCAAAAACAATCAACAGGCAAGGCATAACTGTAAACGTGCCAGCTGGGGGTTGGTTCAATAAATAAAGAAAAATCAATATTCTACGGTGAGGCCACCATTGGTTACACAGTGGGAAATGAGGGGCAAATCCAAAATAAGACGGGAAGTCTGGAGTGACATCTTAGACCTATACACTAGCCACCAGCATTTACTTCAGATAGAATGCTGTCTCTGGACGTAGTTTCTAGAATGAGAAGCAACCATATGGCATCCAGTGGGGCTGAAAAGGAGCACTGAGCCACAGCCCGAACAGTACCTGACGCATGTGCACCGCTGGGTGCCAGGCTTACAAGCAGGACCTTGTAAGGGTGCCCTTCCAACAAGCTCTCCATTCAGGCCTGCAAAGGGAGGGAAGGAACACACGAGCCGTGGCTTGTAGGGCTGGCTCTAACCTTTCAAAAATATTTGGAGAAAAGAAAGAGTATGGATATGTGAGAGAAGAAATAAGGCCAGTGAAAATGTCTGTCAGCAATCTAGTTGGATAGATCTCTAATTATTTACCACATATTATTAGTGGTTAATTCTATCAGGGAGGGGGCCTACCCTTTCACTCACCCTTCGCTGTTAAACACAGAACACACTTTTTTTTTTAAGTGTTAAGCTTTAGCTATATAGGAGGAGGAGGACTGATCCTGGGCCAGTGAGCTGGCTCGTTGAGTGAAGACGCTTGCCGCCAAGC